TATGTGCAGTCACAGCAAGTCAAATGCTGTATTTTTTAGATTAATTTTGGTATTAAGTTAATTTAATAATAAAAAAAAAAAGATCAGTGCTCCTCCAGTTTTGCCTGATTTATTATTCAACATCTAATTTAACCTGCAACTTAGGCCAATTACCATTACTGCCAGTTTTGTCACAGCAGACTTAAAACAAGCCTAATAAGCCTTAAAATCTTAGTCAGCGGTACAAAACAGTCAGATCCTGAGAGCATTCCCCAAACTGTGTGTATTATATTAACAGTGTCAACATTCTTTCTTCAGTTGTGTTGCCACAGCTTGTGTGATAAGAGGAAGTCATAACATTGAGACAGAACAAACAACTTTTTAGAATTTTCAAATTGATTCAGATTCTTACTTCTTGCTCTTGCTATTTCCACACATCACTTAGTACTTTAGAATGTCTTTCTTAGCCACTCAAAAGCATACCAAAAAAATCAATTGTGCAGTGAGTATGTCCACTTGAATATCAAAACCACCCAAGGGCAAACTCTATCCGTCTAGTCCACACACACACACATGCATGTACACACACACATGCATACACACAGTTTCCACTCGCGAAATGAGGGAAGTACAGCATCCCGGTCCATATCGTAACACAACACTTATATTAATAAGAAAGGCAAGCAAGTGGACAGATGGAGGTGAAGGACACGGTGCAGCAGAGGGGACCTTGAGAGTGAGGAGAGCTAGCGTCTTGGGGGCCGTAGACCACAATCTTAGTGTTGACCCTTGTGGCTCTGGGGCCCGACGCTGAGGGGGGAGCTGCAGGAGGCTTAGGGCTCTTTCCAGAGACCAAAGAGTCCTCTTCTTCAGGAAACAAGAGGCACAGGGGGAAAAAAAGAAAGGATTCATGGGGGATAGAAAAGAAATTAGAAAGCACCATGACGTGCACACAGTGAAAATCAGCTTTGGGGTTTTTTATTTTATTTTATATGGCTATCCTTGGTCTTCAGTTCACCTCCATTTAAGTGGAAAACCTTACTCTGGGGTGAAGTGAAGAGGGAATGTAGTTAGTGAAGGGGATTAGGCAGAGTGCAGCACAGGACCAGAACCTCTACTACGCTATATACAGAACTTAAGTGGAGGAATGTGAATATTTCACATGCTTGAAAAGAGAAGTGAGAAGCGAAAGAAGAATAACAAGAGCAAGCTGAAAGGTAGAGACAGTCAGAAAAACACATTTACAATTCAAAAAGTTTTCTACACTTGGAGCCTGTACTTCACAGAAGGTATGTGCAGCTATTTACACTTTGATTCTATAGAAAAGAATGCGACATACATACTCTCTCTCAAGCACACATACATTCTATACAGCCAATTCTTTGCAGCAGGTTGTAGAGTAATGTTTACAATACACTGTTGTTGCACTTAGTATACAAAACATCAACACTCTAATCCGTTTTATACTAACAGACAACTCTACAACATATGCAACATTTAATGTCAAGTGTGACATTAGAATATTGCATGCTTAGGCACTACGAATGCAAATTAGATATAAGTCTTCATCTGGCACAGTGCATCAATGGATGACACTGATGTTTGAGCTGTACAATGTCATAAATAATGATAAAAGACTTCTCAGCTCACCTTTGATTTTCAAAGGGCAGAACAAAAAGCCTCAGAACACAAGTACACAAATCAGAAGTAACCAGAACAATGAAATGTGTGAAGTAGAGCTGAGTACGAAAGTGTCAGTCAGCAGGTCAAACTTGGCCTAAATGATATAAATGGTTGTAACTGAACGAGTAGAGGCAATGCCAGGTAGAAATATGAACAGGACAGGGGCCAGACACAAGCATAAACTGAGATTCAAAATGAAAGGCAAAAAAAAACCAAGCTTTAAAAGTAAATAAATAAAAAGACGCAGTGTGTGTGTGTGTGTGTGTGTGTGTGTGTGTGCGCGTGTGGATTTGGAGTGTTTTTTAAAGACGTCTGTGACAGGGCCAGGTAGTAACTCATTTTTTTGTAGCTGAGCAATTTGCAATATGTGCTGTAATTACATTTTCAAGGAGAAATGTGAAATTAGAAAATTATAACACTGCTACACTGCTACACAGTCAGAAACAAACCTGTTTAGAATTAGTTTGTAGTGTGAATCAGGGCTGAACTAGTAACTGATTTCAAATCAAAATCACAATTTAAAACAGATGCTGCAACTTCAGATTTACAAGGTGTGACTATCAAATAATAATACTCATGCTATAATTCAGTTTGAGTTAATTCAAGAAGATTGAAACTTTCCGAGGTTGTTTATGCCCACTGATTATTGTATACAATGTGTTTCAGACATGTGGTTTTATTGGCATAAACCTAATCTTATTATTCAGTAGCAACACTTGACCAGCACATTTGACCCTTTGGTTTAAACTGTTGTGTGTAAGGTTTCAAAAATTCATACTGTCATTCTTGTGTGAGTTCTGCTTTTGATTGTGACTCACATGGTAATGCTCCATCATGTTGACGATTTTGAAAAAATATATTGCAAAGTTAACTGCGACATTTACCAGAAAATAGCAATTAGATATTATCTCCAAATTTTTCAGGCCCTAATGTGGAATAGCAACACACCTTTTTTTAGTTCCATTGTGGGAGGGAACTATATCAAGGCACTCAACTTTTTTTAAATCACACACAATTCAATTAAAATAAAATAAAATGGCAGCAGATGTAGCGCACTACATCGTAAATAGGACATTATCTTAGCCAGACACTTTGACATAATAATACAACAGTGCAGGTATAGGTGATATTAATTTATTCAGAATTTCTTTTAGTTTTGCTTATTTCGAGAATCTGGTATTGCGCATGACATAGTTGTTTCACTGCTACAGGATGCTGAGAAAGTTTTCTACAATCCAACCTACACTCTCTCCTTTTAACAAACAGATCTGTGAATGACATGCCCATATTCTGAGAAGTGTTCAAGTAGTACTGTGATATGTGTATGTGGTCCTGCGTCATGGCAATACAGTTCTCAGTACAGGTTCACACAACCTAAACCTAAGCAAAAAGTCATATCAGCTGCAGTAATTGAGCCTGTATTTGTGTGTGCAGGGCCTTCATGTTAAAGCTATAATTTCCAATTACCATCTAACGACTGCTGGGCATTGTTCATGCTGCATCCCAGTGTTCAGGCACTAACCTCGGGCCTCTGCCGGTGCTGTGGTCATGGTCGTGGTGTGGGAGGCCGCTGAAGACTCAGCACCGCAGCTTTCAGCCACTCTCTGGCCTGCACACATGGCCTTCAGAGTCTGGAACACCGCTTGAGGGGCCACATTCATCTTCAAGAGGTCCACTATGATCCTAGGAGGGCAGGAGGAGGAGGAAGTTAAAACCTCCAGTGTATCCCTTCATGCACACTCCAGGCTCCTGGTTCCTGTTGATTGGAGTTACACTTACTTAAAGACCTCCTGGTCCACGGTGATGCCTGCAGCCTGGGTGAGCTCAAACAGCTCCATCTCTTCAGCACTGAGGACCTTCTTCTTCTTTATGGCATATTTCTGCACGTTCGTAGTGACCACCAGCGCAGGGGAGTCCGGGGCGGAGGGCACCGTCTGCTGTGGTTGTTGAGACATCACTGCTGTTCTCCTGAGTGGTTAGAATACAACCGCAAACAAGGTACATTTGAAAAAACAGGAAGTCGATCCCTAAATCTGAATAAATAGGAGTGTTACCCGCCCTAAAAGAAACCATGGTGTAATTCGAATTTCTTAAAATATTAACACACAGAGGAACACTAGTTGCTAAACTAATAAACATAATCAAACTATAGTTATCATTAAAATACGAAATACGTACCGTTAAAGTAGCAGTGTTTAGCTCTCAGAGCAGCGTCAACCACAACAGTCCCTCCTGCTCAAGCTCAGCGAGACGCGCCAAAATGACGTCATCGCCATAGGACGTGCGGTAGTGTGTTATGGGATTTGTAGTAAATGAGAAAAACTCTCAAATACTGTACACACTCACTTTTTATATGAACTAAAAAAACAAAATGAATAGCTTCTGAATAATAATAGTCATAGTCATAATCATAATAATGTGCTTGGACAAACCAAGCAAAAGCAGGATACCCAGAAGGTAAAATAAGGAGTAAGACAAAGTTAAAACGAGAAACCAATAGATGCTAAACTGTAAAGGCAACATGTTAGTATTAAAAAACACATATAAAAAAATTAATATAGTAAAGTCTCAACTAGAAAAAAACAAAAGCCTAATGAAAAATAAAGAGACTGCATTACATAAATGTACAGGTGTTGCTTGAAAAATATTTTTACAAATGTGGATTATCTTTTTATAGAATCATTTAGGAGCAAAATTAATATTTACACCTTTATTATGAATTGCTTTAATTCCCCCGTGACCCAAGTGAGGATGTATAGATAATCGATGGCTGGATGTTCTATCATTCTTCAGTTTCTTTCAACTGCTCTTTGCTAGAGGGGTTGTGTTGCTGTTTTGTCCTCTTAAAAAGAATCCGAAGGCATTCTTTTGGATTCAAGTCAGGCAACATACTTGGTCTTGTTGAAAATGTCAGTCAGTACATCTGCCATCTCGTCAGCACAGACTCTGAGCACACGTCCTGGGATGTTGTCTGGTCCTGTTGCTTTTCGTGGGTTGACCCTGGCTGGCGTCCTCTGTGTGTCTGCTGCACTGATGGTGAAAGCTGGCCTGACAGATGAAGGAGAAGGACCAGCCCTCTCTCTGATTGTCGAGTTTGATGCTTCAAAGCATGCAAAGAAATTGTTGAGCCTGTCTGGAAGAGAAGCGTCATCATCGTCGACCCCCTGCCTGGTCTTGTAGTCCGTCAGTGCCTGGACTCCCTGCCACATCCGTCTGGTGTTTCCTGTGTCACAGAGGTGTTCCTGGATTTTCCCTGCATAGGTGCGTTTTGCAGCCTTGATCCCTTTTGAGAGCTCAGATCTGGCTGAGTGAAGAGCAGTCCTGTCTCCCACCCTGAAGGCTGCATCACGGGCCGTCAGCAGCGAGCGCACCCCTGCAATCATCCAGGGCTTTTGGTTTCCACATCTTTTCTTTTTTTTGTAGCATTATAGATCCATCAAGTGGCAGAAAGAAGAAACAATTTATAACCGTCTCTCACTCTGAAGGTTGCATCACGGGCCGTCAGCAGCGAGCGCACCCCTGCAATCATCCAGGGCTTTTGGTTTCCACATCTTTTCTTTTTTTTGTAGCATTATAGATCCATCAAGTGGCAGAAAGAAGAAACAATTTATAACATTTACTCATTTCTTTGCTGAACCGATTGAGCTGACTAATTATGTAAATGTGAATATTGTTATTTGACCTTTTTCATCGACATATAGTGGACATGGGGTTATACATTTTCCAAAAAGGCAGTACGGCATTATGGATGAAAGTCCTGATTTATTAGTCCCTTTGATCCAGCCTGAAATATCTCAGAACATTTGGATCAAGTCCTGTAAATTTTGTGATTATGCTGGATCCCTTTAACTTGTCACCTACACCATCATCATCATCCCATCAGAAAGATGGGAGAAAAAGAATAGGGATAGTAAAAGGGGTAAGGCTGGTGGAGGGGGTAGTGGAGGGAGGGTTGAGAGGTGAGGAATGAGGTAGAAAGGGTGAGGAGAAGACAGAGAATGGGGATTCAGAGGAAGCTACATTGAACATCCAGCAGCCTCCTTCACCTTTGACTTACTGTCATGTTTTTTCTTTGTGGAAAAACACCCCGAGAAGCTCTTTTTCTTCTTCTTTTTCTATTTTTTTGGCTCTTCTTCTTTGATTCTTATTTTTCTTGCTCGAGCAGCTCCTTTAGCTTCTCCTCCATCTCTTTTTTCCACCTCCTCTCTCATCTTCTCCAGATTGTGAGCTGACAAACCCAGTCCTGCTTTCTCTGCTGGTGTTCAGCCTCTTTGACCAACATTTGCTCCTTGGTGCTTGAGACCATCAGAGACAGAGAGACATTGAGATGGCTCAGCCTCTGGATTTCCTCATCTTTCTACTGGTCCAGCTGTTGTTCCCCTCCCTCAGTCTTGTCTGTCGGTGCTCCATCACTGTCTTGCTCAGCACAAAGTTTTTTTTATTGTCCTCCAGCAGCTCTTTATTTTTTGTTTGCAGCTTCTGCTCTCCCCCTTCAGCCTGTTATTCTGCTCCTCCAGTTTGGTTTTCTATTCCTGGAGTCTTTGGTATCTCCCTTCTGCCAGTGTCTTGTTCGTCTTTAAAGTGTTCCCTGCCTTCTCCGGTTTCAGCTTCTCCTGCTTCAGTATTTTATTTTCCTCTTGCAGATATTGCTATTCTGCTCTTTCAGTCTTTAATTCTCTACACCAAATTGTTGGAGTTGGAGTTTGCCATCTTATTTGAGCAGCTCAGAGAGTCTCAGGATCTTTCTTGTACAGTATGACAATAGGTCACAAAGGTCATTCAATGTGAGGGGTTGCTCTCCAATTGACAGGTCAAAAAGTCGGACGCCTTTAAAAAAGGAAGGCTTTGACTGGCCTGTTTTAGCATATCTGTTATGTGGTTGGCATTTTAACGGGACAAAGTAAGAAGTGTACACAGATCTGCTTCACAAACTGACAACTAAGGTTCCCCGAACACAAGACTGGCAGAGAATGTTCCCAAAAGATAGTTTGCTGGGATCTCTGTACTTTACAACGGATAAAAGGGAGGCATGAAAAGGCTCTCCTGTGCTTTTATAAGGTGCTGAAAATATTTGATTACCTCCAGAGCAATTACTGATGAGGACTAAATTTAAAAGAAAAAAAAATGGATTTTTGTAATGTACTCTTCTCTCACTTATGTATTGAATTATACTTTTCTTTCATGTAGTTTCATTTTCTTTCTAATCAAATATACCATAATGGTTGTGAATGTTTCTTCGATATTAAAAAAAGCTGTTGCATAGCGCATGGAAATGAAGGAAATACATTTGCTTGTACAAATGTAACTTAAAAGTTAACGTCTCAAATGCATTACATAAAATTAATTATTTGAACACATATTTTTACACCATTGTATTGAAATGCATGTCAGTAACAGGACGACAGACAGATATTATATGTTAATATTATCATTATATCGATATATTTTCCGCTCATAGGCTTGTAGGGCGAAAGCGGAAGTAGTTGAGGGGTAGTCCTCTGACGCATGCGCAATGCTCTGCGCTGTCGTAAAGAATGGCCGCCGCTGCAGCAGGAATAAACAAGCAGGGCGCCGTAGCGACGATGGAGCCCTGTATCCGACACGGGAGGGGAGCTAGTGGCAGCACGGTGAAGGTTGTAATGTTATTACTAAATGCCAAAGTTACATTATGTTCCTGATGATTGTGTTGTTCAGTTAGTTTGCACGAAGCATCGACAGCAGGCTCGCTGCCTTCGTGGCTCCTGATTTGGGGCGAACGCTGCTGCCGCTGCGTTGGCGTTGGAGGCAGCGGATGGCAAACACTGAACTAGATTAGATACGCGTTAACGTTGTATCATAATAGTGGGCATTTTCATGATCTTATAAATGGCTTAGTAAGGTTTATGAACGTTCACCCGTTTGGTATTCTAGCCTGCAGCCTGCTACCAGAGCTGGAGGATCAGCTAGCTGTCTGGACTAGCTGTGTTTGTGTGGAGGCTCTGCTCAGTGATTTAAGAGTCGCTGCATAGTGCGCGTGTAAATAAAATCTCCTAAACTGTGTTTGCATCGCATTTGTTTAAAGAGCACATACAGAAACAGAAATCAGCAGGGTTAACCAGCTGTAATATCAGATGACTGACATGTTCACTGACTCTTCTTTATTCTTTCTCTGCATTCAGTCAGAGATTGTTTGAGAATCCCTCCCAGCTGGTGGATATTTCTTCCCTCTGACTGCAGGATTCTGACACACACACAGTGGTGGTTTGGCAGTTTATCAAGTTGTGCTTGTGTTTACAGGTGCTGGAGTGTGGAGTGTGTGAGGACGTCTTCTCTCTCCAAGGAGACAAAGTCCCTCGTCTTTTGCTCTGCGGTCACACAGTGTGCCATGACTGTCTCACCCGACTGCCCCTCCATGGCAGAGCGGTCCGCTGCCCCTTCGACAGACAGGTCACTGAGCTGGGTGAGGAGAGAGTTTTCTGTGACTGCACTGACATGAAATAGTCAGGCTTTTTTGTACCTTTTTTATTTTGAATGTCACTACTCACAGACTTCGTGGGCTTTTCAGTGTTGTAGTACGACAAGCACAGAGGTGTAATTGGTATTTCTTGACAAAATAAAACGTATTACATGAATCCGTTTCTAAGGGTTTGAGACCCTGACAGGGTTCCAGACTTACTTTTTCTATTGGTTGCAATGGTGTACCCTAAATTTTTCAGTTTTAAGCTTTACCTTCTTTGTCAGTTTCCATACACATTACTCATTTCTTAACACTTTATGTAAATTATTGTAAACAAGAGTAAAAGCGCAGATAAATGATTTGCAAAATTTATCCTGCTTTTCATCAGGAAGATCCGGGATTTGAAGTCAGTAAAATGCAGCTCATCTAATGCTGTATTATAAGCAGTGTTGCATTTTGTTACCATTTCTGATTCTTCATTGCTTTGGTTTGCTGCTGCTGCCTGCTGCTGAAACGCTGCAGGAAAGAGGGCTGCTCTGCTGGTTAAATGAAACGCTCTCATTGGCCACGCATGTGGTCAACTCAAACATTTATCCACTAGTATTCTGATGTCATAGTTTCAGTGAATGCCACCACAGGTGACCAAGTGCAAGTGAAAGCACCATAAGATGACTGTAACAGAATAGCAGTAGTGCTGTGCCTTCTTTCCATAAGCATCACAAGGAGCACAAAAGGCACATTTCTTTCATTGATGCAGGTGCACACACAGACCTCAGACATTAACACGAGCTCAAGTTTAATGTGTTGCTTCCAGCTATTTGTAGGA